AGTTCATAACAGTCCAAAAGCTGACGATAATAGTAAAACATGGCAATCAGTTCATGTTTTAGGTTGCTGAAAAAAATAATTTGCTCCTTTCTTTTTTCCGGCTTCTCCTGTTTTTCGCGCTTCACTCTCGTATTTGTACATTTCTGAAAGTATCAGACGTCAGAAGCGATTCATTCAATAGTCATGCGCACCTTATTATCATGAGCTCAAGAAGTTCGTTATTTCAAAAATAGAGACGTGCAGCGAGCTCTCTGGAGAAAGTGAAACCGCTAGTGCTTTAGACAGTCTCATCAACAACAACAGGTTTATCTTCTTGGCTACGTGTGTTTGTTTGAGCTCGGGTCAACCACGGCTTGTCATTATAAGTATATTATAATGATGTAATGTCTTGGTTGTGTATTTAAAAACGGTGGTTCCTTTGTTTTCATTCTCCTAGCTTGTACACGCACTAGTGACGTTTGTCTGTAAACCAATAGCATGCAGATGCGCAAAAGTGTTTGTATAGTTATTGTATGGTTACAAAGCCCCGGTCAGTTCACATGATTTCGGTACGATTTCCTTGACATGGGGTTTCCTGGGGAGTGGTAAACGACAAATGGACGTCGTCACAAACGATTGTTTCTTCTCGTGCAGGGCTCGAAATTAACCTTTTTGCTTGGTAGCACCGGTGCTCCTAACTTTAAAAATTTAGGCGCATCAACCAAAATTTAGTCACACCACCAATTATGAGCACCGTTACTACAAGTTTTATACAAGCATATTTATTGTATTTGAAATTAACACTAATCAAACTAACAAGCAAAAAAAAAATCAAATATATAACGTTATATGCAAGCGTGAGGAAAATATGTCTCAATGAAATCCCGTTATCACAAGAAAATTTATTTTTATAACAGAACTGAGTGACCAAAGCATACATGGAGCGCTCACCGGCCCTGCACGCACTGCTTGAATGATTCTGTTAACGGTATAACTCTGCTGTTCTCACAAGTGCTGTCTGATATTGCGCTGATGCTTTTGACACGTACTGTACCTTATTAGATGCATATGTTATATTTATAATATAATATATACAATATAATAGCAATACCGGTCTTTTTAGGAGTAGCGATATTAGTTTAGTCAATGTAAGCCCGTTTGCAATGGTGTTCGTACTGTTAAATTTTACATATATCTGCCCCTTGCACGGCGGACAGCATCTGGCGATTATATGAAGGATTAAACAGAAGCTCTCATGCTAGATGTGGCAAACAGTTACCTGAAAATTCCATCCCACAGACTTTTCACCGCAGACTTGAAGCCAACGGAAGTTTTCTACTCTTGGAAAAGTGTAGATGGTGGATTAACATTCAGCACACGATCACTAGTAAGATGTGTCATTATTTGTTACTGTAGATGCCATGGTTTCTAAAACTAAATCTGCCAGTGTTATCTTCATTCTCATCTTCAGCACTTTACAATTTTTCGCGGTAGTAGCTCTCTGTCATCCGAAGCCAGAAGGCACTGAGTGATTGACAGCTGATATTAACCAATCATTCGCGTTCAGTGCTAGAGCAGTGGTGGGCCAATAAGAAGAGCGCAAAGGTGGGGCAAGCATTACGGACTTGGATTTGTTTACTGTAGCAAGTTGACATGACAACTGTTTTAAACCATTCCCGAGCGCTGCGTTTCACGATTCAAGTGCAGACAAAGAGCTTAGAAATGCATTCTGCGTGAATGTCTCCCAAATCCGCGCATGTGGTGAACATTTTGCAGTAAAAACTGGTCGCACACAACAATTTTAACCACTCGCAGAAATGCTCCCAAATATATTTTAAGGTTGCATAAATAAAATTTCAGGCGCATATGCCACCAAAATGGTCGCAATTTCGAACCCTGTCATGTAATGTGGCATAGTTCACGACAACCGATACCATGTCTGTGATGCCGCATGACACCATCAAGTCTAGCATGTTTAATTTTCTAAAGCATAGCAGACTGGTTTTGAAGCACTTCACCTCAGATGTTATTCGTTATTTTTGTTTACATATATACATATATATTTTATATGGCAGCCTTTTGCGATTAACTAATCGCACATTGTAAATTGCGATTGGATTTTGATTCATCGCACAGCCATACTTCTGAGAACCCAAAAATTTTCACATATTGATAAATAATGTTATGACAGCTGTTTTGAACGTCAAGTTATAATTGAATTGCCTCTTGTTAGTTAGGAAACAGCTTTACAACAAGAGGGAAACGTTCATGAGACAAATGACATCAACACATGGTGTATATTAGGGCGTACTCACGCTATATACAGTTGCCTCGAACTGGGCCAAAGTACACTTGTCCCCACTCCCATCTCCCCCGACGACCCGCACTCACATTACAATCAGGCCTGGTCACGCTTATGTCATTGATGCTGCGCTTTTCAGTAAGCACTCTCGCTCAGCACTGAGGAGATTTTTCTAGTTATATCGCTTCAGACCTTGTGGTGACACGTAGTCATATATTTCGCCGAACAAATTAGCCCCTTTTGACGCTCATAAACAATCATAAAGTCCTCATGCTGCAGGAATTAGGAGGTTTGCTGAAGGTGCAGCTGTCGTGCAGTGAGGGGTTTGCGTCTTTAATAAACTACGACAGTTTGCATTCACTGAACAGTAAAAATGATTAATAAACATATAAAACAGACCCTTAATATTCACATCCCGCTTTCAGTATCGGGCTTAGGCGTGTTTTGCACCCACACACAAGCGTACCACGCCAAAACCCAAGTTAACCGCGCTCTGGCACACCTCTTCCAATCGGACCAGGGCCGGCCAAGTGAACCATGCCTAAGCCTGATTCAGAGCAATCACACTTTTCAAACGATCCGGGAAACGGGCCAGGGCACGATTCGGATAGCATAGTGTGAGTACGCCCTAAACAGCAACTGTGTTTCATGCAAGACAGAGTTAAGATGCCTTTCACGTATCCCACGTGGATGCTATGAGGATATACAAGGGACCAAGATGAACGTATGATGGGAATGATTGAATGACAGCTCCTAAAATTGTATGAGAGACAACCCATTGTTGCCCAGTACCAACATTGTGTTTTGTTTGCTAATTTAAGTTATTTTTTAAAAGATATATATAATATATAAAACTATACTTTAAATTAATTTATAATACCCAAGTCTGATAAGCTTTTTATATTAATGGACAAGGCACAGATATTGATATCTCATAATGTTTTACACTACATTATTTGAATCCACCAAGCTTAGCTTACAATGTTTACATTGTTCTACTTGCATAACATCTAAATCCCAAACATCAGAAATGACAACAGATTGTTAAGATTTAATTAACGCCAGTTTTAATGTTATTGATAAATACACTGTCTTGACAGATTTCACTCATTTATTTATTTTCCATCTGCTTTTTCCTTGGTTTACCACAGTGGAATGAACCGCCACTTACTTGACAGATTTGTGCACTTTAGGTGGTTTGTGTATGCGTTTTATGTTTGATCAATTTATTTGTAATTGCATATTTAGTGATTTTTCAACTAATTACAATGTATTGTCTCAATAGACGGATTTAGAGCAGTGGTGTCCAAATTCGTTCCTGGAGGGCCGGTGTCTTGCACAGTTTCACTCCAACTTCCTTCAACACACCTGCCTGGAAGTTTCTAGCATACCTAGAAAGAGCTTGATTAGCTGGTTCAGGTGTGTTTCATTGGGGTTGGAACTAAAATCTGCAGGACACCGGCCCTCCAGAACCAAGTTTGGACACCCCTGATTTAGAGGGTTTTGCCAAAAAAAAAAAAAAGTACAAGTGGATTTAGCTGGTTTTGACACAAAAGAAAATCCACCTTGTTAAAAACAACGAATTGTCTAGTAACATTTAAAAAAAAAAAAAAAAAAGTATTTTATTTACTAGCTAATAACCTTATTATTACATATGAAATGAAACTTCTGAACATAATCAAGAGCCTGATAGAAAATGCTCATTTACAAGAGGTCTGATGGATTTAGAGGGTTTTGCATCTGAACTCTTCATGTATACTTCCCTAATGATTAAAAATATGGCAAAGTGACTCCTTACACAAACCAGTACATGTTAAACATAAAGAATACTCATTTTACAGTTCTACATACACATCAGGGTACAATCTCTTGCTGAGGTAATAATATAAAGTGTTTCCGGACTAAACCACGTGTTCAATCATTTCTCCACCCCAACTCCTTCATTCCCAGCTTCTTTCACTCAGTAAACGTATTAAATCCACTCAACTGTCTCTGTGTATCCAGCTGACCAATCCTCGAACAGTGTACAGCTATTGAACCTTCGGACCAGACAGCAGTTCTGTCCATTACAGACACGTGCTGCAGAGCTGACTGTACATGAATGCAGCACGCGCTACTGAAGCCTCCGAACGCCCTGGGTAGACAGCTAACATTTGAGACACAACCCGCAAAATGTATTCTCTACCATTATACTATTACATAAGCGACAACAAACCGCATTTCAGATTTCGTTTGACATAACGTTACAGTGATGCAGATGTTATCGATTCAGTATATTCAGAGAGCTATGATGATCAAGGACATCATTAATATGTCAACTCTATCACCAGGCCACATTGTTTACATCTTCACTACAGTATGATGTCAGATTAAAGAGCATGTTTAGCGTCGCAGTGTCTAGATAGAGTTAGCTAGTCGCAAGCTAGCAAGATACTTTAGCATCTGCTTCAGCGTAAACAGAGCCGTTTTCACCGACAGTCACTTCGCTATTTAATAATCAACCCTAGTGAAACATAGCATTATTAATCTCCATCGAGTTTACGTTTAAAGCATGTAAAATCAGCTCCACTTCCTGACCCGAACCGCCTCACAAAGCGAACGTGGCGTTCAGACTGCTGCAATGTGCTCTTAACCCTCACACAGGCATTTACTGAAGAAACACCGCAGATTCGCACGTTATTTTCACGGTGAACACACGGAAATAGCATTCCATACGTACCCATCCGTGAATGATCGCGAATCGACGGGTGTGTTTTGATGTTAAGACTGTATTCCGCTACGAAGCCTTCATTTTGTTACGTTCTCTGCCCCATGCTGCATTATGAAAGGGCGTGTGCCTGGGTGATTGACGTGACGGAGCGGCCAATCAGGGTTGAGCACGCCGGTGACGACAAGCTTCATTCATGGCGACAGTGTCCAATCATAAATCGATTGGCGTGTAACTTTTAACACGGATGATTTCTGTCTCTGCGTTGTTTACTCGAGGAGTTTGCAGTATGGAGACTCGAAGGACCCGTGGAGACACTAAAGCCCACAAGGGGGCGAAAGAAACAGACAAATTCATTCATTCATTTTCTTGTCGGCTTAATCCCTTTAATAATCCTGGACCACCACAGCGGAATGAACCGCCAACTTATCTAGCAAGTTTTTACGCAGCGGATGCTCTTTCAGACGCAACCAATCTCTGGGAAAAAACATAAATATATAGTTTGTATTTATGTAAAGAGAAACAGGATTCTGCATGACACTATAAAGGTAAATGACAAACAATATGACCGTGACATTAACTAACTGGTATATTTTTTGTGTAAACTGTGTAGTCATTAAGCCATCATGTTTTTCCCTCACAATATCTTCTGTAAATGAAATGTACTTCAGGCCCGTAACCAGCCTTTGGTCTTTTTTTTTTCTAAAAAAAAAAAAGGAGGGGGGCTTTTTGCAGTTATTTGCCTAATTTTCTATTCATGAGGTTTAAATAGTTTTAATTTTAGTGACATTTTAAGCACTATTTTTGCTGGATTAGCTTGTTGAAACCTTATAATTATAATATAACTTTAACCTTATAACCTTATAACTTATAATATACCTTATAATTCATTATCAAATATTCAAATGATTATCATTGTGTCGGTATAGCACATTCTCAGAACATGTGAAGAAACACAGCTGCTGTATAAGAAACTAAACAGATGCTAAAAAATTTGAGTGGACATCTTTGCTTTTTTATTTACTGTAACAGTAATAACAATGAAAATTAATGAACTTTAATAAGCATGCGGAGGCTCTCCACAAATCTTACCAAGTGGTTCCAGCACTGGACATCTCAAAATAAGGTGTGTGTGTGTGTGTGTATATATATATATATATATATATATATATATATATATATATATATATATATATATATATATATATATATATATAATTGCAATGGATATAATGAGTTAATTGTAAAAAAAAATCTGAAAATTACATTGAAAAAAAAAATGGTACCTGTGGTTGCAAGAACTTTACTGTTAAAATACAGAAGAAGAAACTATAACAAACTTTCCTAAATATCACGGTAAATTACTGTATGTCATTACAAAAAAAATGAATCCATAAAATTTACAGTGTCAAATCAGCAGCTGTTTTTGCCAGAATTTTACCATTAAAAATAAGATTGAAACCAAAATAATGTTTAAAACTTACGATAAACTACAGTTTTTCATTTATTAATAAATTATGTTATGGTTTCGACTGTATTTTTACTGTGGGTTTATTTTTAAATAGAGTTTACTGTACCATTTAAAACCATTTTAATGATTTCTTCCCTATTTTTAACCAATGTTTCACCGTAAATTGATTTTTTACAGCACGCAAATGAATGAAATACAGGAGTTTAATGTAAAATTATAGAAAAGTATTTTACGATTGCTTCTGTGTTTTTAACAATAAAGTTCTGGCAACCAGAGCTGGCATCTTTCACTGTAAATTTTAGTTATTTTTACAGTGTATAAATAAATGAACTATGGGAGTTTACTGTAAAATTTAGGAAATTCTTTTACCCTTTCTACTATATTTTTACGGTGAAGTTCTGCAGCTGCCATTTGTTCACATTAAGTTTTACAGATGTTTTTAAAGTGTATTAATTAATGAAATACGGGAGTTTACTGTAAAATTATAGAAAACCGTTTTACGGTTTCTACTGTATTTTTACCGGTAAAGTTCTGGCAACCACAGCTGCCATTTTTTCACCTTAAATTTGATACTGATATATACTGATTTTTTACAGTGTATAAATGAATTAAATACAGGAATTTACTGTAAAATTGTAGAAAATTATTTTACGGTTAGGTTCTGGAAACCACAGTTGCCATTTTTCACCTTAAAATATACAGATTTTTTTTACAGCTTTCAAAAGCATAATGGAGAAAAAAACACTGCATGAAACAATCAGACATAATCCCACAATAAATACATTTTGGGGTGAACAGATGTAAAATAAAAACATTCACCAATTGAACTAATTGAAAGAGCACTGCTTATTTATTCTGGACAAATTTAGAGCATAAAAAACTTTATATAAATAAAAAAAAACTGTATATATTACAACTGACAGAATTATGTATGCTGCTATATGCACAGTACAGTATAGAATTTACATCTTACTGACAATATACATTCCTCAATTAACACTTAGTCCAAATTATCATGCAAACTAGCAAGCATAAGTCTAGACTTTCATCTTAATAAACTCACATCTGAATTATAAAACTGAACATTTTTTAGTTTTTGCACAAAAACAAATAATTTTACAAATAAAACCATGTGGAGAAACAGATTTACATTTGTCTTGAGATCTAATTTTAAGCATTTGAACAGAGGAGCATAATAAAAACCCACAATTTTAGTGAAGAATGTCTATATTTGGACTGGAAGAGTATCTTGAATTGTTCATATATATATAAAAAAGTTTTCATTATGGAAATGTATTGGATTTTAACAGCTTGTTTGTAGCTTACTAGCAGACTTTCACTCCACAATGCAAAAAAACTGATTTTAATCCCTCCCAAAAAAGGTTGTTTCTTGTCCAAATATCTAAAAATTCTTACATTAAGAAGTGTTTACTAGAAAAAATGCTATTTGAAAATAATAAGTCAAAATTAGGTGAGTTTTTCCTTAAAAAAAAGCTAATAAAATCTGCTAATGGGACAAGCAAAATAATCTTGGTTTTCACTTTAAAATAAGAACATTTTACTTACACCATTAGCAGATTATTTGTCTTCTTTTAAGGCAAAACTCGCTTAATTTTAACATATTATTTGTTAAAAGACAATATTATTTACCTATATAGTAAACACTTCTTGATTTCAGAGTGTTTAGATATTTGAACTAAAACAAGACAAAAACTCTAAGTAGGAAAAGCATTTTTACCAACGCAGTCTTTCTGAACGATGTTGAAATCATGAACACGACAACATAAAGAGTCAAAATCTCAAGCTCTTCTTGAGGAACTAAAAAAAAAAAAACAATGTTGAAATCAATTTCCTCTTTATTGGAGAAAATACAAAAATACAAGACGAAACACTTGGGTTTTCAAAGTGCTTTAGAGAAACTTTCTGCCTGTCATATAAAATACTTCACAATAAGATCCATCAGATATATTAACATGCAAATCAAACGTACTGTATGCATCCTGTCATGCCTGGGTAAATACTTTTGCATCGCAATTACCCCTAAAATATATATATATTTTTAAATAATTTTCCTTTGTTGTGTTTGCAGATGTTTTGCTTTTGGGTTTGTTTTTAATACCTAATATTGATTTAAAGGAGACCTATTATGCAAAAATCACTTTTATAAGGGGTTAGAACGCAGTTGTGAGGCAACATTGCGTGAATATAGCAAGCCTGTAATAGTAAAAATGAATTAAATCTAAATTTTATAATCACACTTGATAAAATCAGTCTGGAGAAACACTTTGATTGACATTCTCTCGTTGTACGTGTCATCAGAGGGAGAAAGCCCCGCCCACTAGCGACCATCTGTCCCTCATTAGCATAAACACACTGTAAAAAATGTCAGTGAAAACTACAGTAAAAAACTGTAAAGCAGCAACAGTAAAAGACTATTTAAACCAAAATAGTATATGACTGTATTACATACATTAAATCACCGTAATTTAAGAAAGAGTACATAACTTTAATTTTTACTCTTTTAATATGTAATAAATACAACTTTTTACAGTAAAAATATATTTTTTTGGTGAAATAAATAAAAAAATACCGTAACTTCTCAAGCAAGTAATTACCCTAAAATCAACAGTATAATTCTGTGTAAAAACACATTTTGTTGATGTGTACTATAAAATTTACAATATAAAACCTTCAAAAATTCAACAGAAACTTACTTTAAATTCTACAGTAACAAGAGGTTAAAAGAATGGTATATGTTAGTCAAATAAAAGGGATAGTTCACTCAAAAAGAAAAAAATCCAAACCCGTAAGACCTTTGTTCATTTTCAGAACACAAATTAATATATTTTGGATTTAATCGTAGTTCCTCCCATAGACAGCAAGGGTTCTTACGCCACAAATTACAATGTTAAAATCCAAAGTATTTTAATTTCTGTTCCGAAAATGATTAATGACATATTTATTTTTTTTTTTGGTCAAACCATCCACTTTGTTGAAAAACAAAAACAAAAAACAGCATATGCTGGTAAGGTATGCTGGTTTCAATGCTGGTCTTGCTGGTCTCAATGGTGGTCAGGGCCAAGATATTACATTGAAACCAGAATACGGGCATCAAAACATAGGCTACATCACCAGCATATGCTGTTTTATTTGAGTCTTTAATGTAAAATGTTATAATATTCTGTCATTTACTGTACTTTTGTGTATTGTTCATTAAATAAGCCCTATGGATCAAATCTGAGATTTAATTGCTAAAGGCAATGAAAAACAAATTCAAGATATAATTGTAAAAATACAAATATATCGACCTTTATGTAATCATTCATTCGTTCATTTTCTTTTCGGCTTAGTCCCTTATTCATCAGGGGTCACCACAGCCGAATGAACCGCCAATTTATCCAACATATGTTTTACACAGCGGATGCCCTTCCAACTGCAACCCATTACTGGGTCCATCCATACACACTCATTCACACACATACACTACTGCTTGTCTTTGGACTGTGGGGGAAACTGGAGCACCCGGAGGAAACCCACGTGAACACGGGGAGAACATGCAAACTACACACAGAAACGCCAACTGGCCCAGTCGGGGCTCGAACCAGTGACCTTCTTGCTGTGAGCACTACCCACTGCGTCACCGTGTTGCCCACTATGTAATCATGTTGTAAAAATATTAGATTTTTCATATTACTTTGTATTTAATCACAACTATATAGGTTAAAGGCTGAAATAAAAGGTTGAAATAAAAGATGCTAGAATGAGCAAAAATAAAAGATGAATTATGAAGACAATTAAGTGTTTTTAATTATGAAATGTGTTTTATTATTGATTATTTATTATTAAACAGCATGTTTTAAAAATTCTGTAAAAAACATGAACACACATGCAGAGAAAAAAAAAATCACGATCTGCATGCAATGCAAGTGGTGAGTCCAATGCCTATTTTAAATTTTTTCATAGGGTAACTTGCAAATTGTGAAGTTGGGGGAAGACTTTTTGTCTGACGCAAAGTGTATTTATTTAACAATTACTTGTTAACTTGAGTATAAATTACGAACATTTATACTATTCAAAGTGCATATTTAAATGTAGTAATAGCACCACTCAGTAAACGAAGGTGAACTGTCAACGTTATTTTATATTTCAGTTGGCGAAAAATGAGCGCGCTCACCGTTTAAAATGGCGGAATAGCACCGCCCAATGAGCTAACGTGAACTGTCGACATTTTATATTTCAGCCGCCGATTTAGCGCGCCCGCTCTTCAACTTGTGATGCTTAGTGCAAACCTTTGGCACCTGCTAACTCCCTGCTAACGAGGTAAGTCTGTTTGACAACACGGTTCTACACTAAAAGTACATTTTTACAGAATCAGTATTAGCGATGTTGAGTTGCAATTTCTGTGGCAAGTCAGTCAAATCATTGAGGGCTTATGTAATACATTGCAAACTTCACCGAAATGAACCGCGTTTATTTAAGTGCTTTGCAGCCGAATGCAAACAGACTTTCTGTACATATGCATCGCTTAAGGCTCATTTTTACAGAAAACATAACGTAAATGCGCCTGTTAACGTTGCTGTCGGGACAGATGTTATGCCTATTAAATGTGCAATGGCGTTATGTGATCGACAGTGTGAAGATGCTAAATCTCTAATAGCACACTTGAAAGACCACATTGTAGAAGGACGTGTTGTGAGTTGTCCAGTAAGAGGATGCACAGATGCTTTTAAAGTTAAATCTTCCTTTACCTCCCACATGTCACGGAAACACAAACATTTCACAGAAAGCACAATTAGTGACTTGTACAGAGACTCGTCGGCTTATCAGTCATCTTCACAATCTGTAACAACCGAATTAACGTCACATGACTGTGGCCATGAATTTGAATGTGATGTAGATACATCCGACGATTTCAACGATCTTTTTCTTAAAAATATTTGTTTATTTTACTTAAAACTGCAAGGGCAGCTCTTAGTGCCTGATTCAACCACACAGAACATTGTTGAGGAGATTCAAAATATACACGAGTTGGGTCAGACATATACTTTAAGTAAACTTGCTTCACAGCTAAAGAATGAAACATCCTTAACAGAAGATGAGATCACCAAAATTTGTCAGTCTGTCAAGGAATCTGATCTGTTTTCTGCATGTCATACAGGGCCAATGAGGACTGCACACACAAGAGCTCAGTGTTTCAAAAAAAATTTCAATTATGTGGAGCCTAAGACTGTTTTGTTAGGAAGGGATGAGAACAGAAAAGATAGGTTTGCCTATTATGTGCCAGTCAAAGAGACTTTAAAATGCTTATTGCAGTCTGATATGTGGCAGGATTGTATGTCTGAGGAGCACCCCACTGACACACCCACAGATGTTTTAACTGATGTTACTGATGGCCAGATGTTCAAATCAAATGAATTTTTTGTTCAGAATCCATCAGGCCTAAAACTAGTACTGTATCAGGATGCATTTGAAGTTGTTAATCCTTTAGGCTCTGCAAAGACAAGACATAAAATATTAGCTGTTTATTTATCTGTAGCTAATTTGCCACTTCATGTAAGGTCAGACACAAACCACATGTCACTTGTTTTATTGTGCAGAGAAAAAGATTTTAAAGAATTTGGGCATGCTAAGGTGTTCTCTAATTTACTAGCAGACTTAAAGTATTTGGAGGAGAATGGAATTCCTGTTTCAGATGAAACCGTAGTAAAAGGAACGGTCTATTGCATTGCCGGCGATAATTTAGGATCCCACTGCATTGGTGGGTTCTCTGAAAATTTCAGCCGTGCAGAACATTTCTGTAGATATTGTCTAATTACTCGATCTGAATTTCAGGGTGATCCAAATCTGTGTGGACCAGCCCGGACAATTCAAAACTATAACTCAGCAATTGACCGCATCCAAGCAGAAGGAGCACAAGACGTGGAAGGAGTAAAATTCAGGTCAGAATTCAATACTTTGAAATACTTTAATGTGTGTCAGCCTGGTCTGCCACCTTGTGTGGGACACGACATATTTGAGGGTGTTTTGTCATATGATGTGGCACTGTATCTGAAATACTTCATAAAAAAAAAAAAATGGTTCACATACTCTACATTGAACAGGCGTATTAAACAGTTCAAATACTGTGCCTCAGATGCTGCTGCTAAGCCATGTGAGGTCAACCCTCAAGCAGGTAAGCTCACTGGAAATGCAATACAGAACTGGAATTTTTTAAGACTGATGCCTCTCATAATTGGTGATCAAGTGAAAGATGCAGCAGATGATGTGTGGCAGCTGACTCTGCAGCTGAAAGACATTGTGGACATGGTATGTGCTCAGAAAATCTCTGTTCCTCAAATTGCATATCTTGAAGTCCTTATTGAAGAGTATTTAGAATCCAGAACATCTATATTCCCCGAAACTAAGCTGAGACCTAAGCATCATTACTTACGCCATTATCCAGCACTGACTCTGAAATTTGGCCCCTTGATTAGATTGTGGACAATGCGTTTCGAAAGCAAGCATAGCTATTTCAAAAGATGTGCAAGAAATTTGAGGAATTTCAAAAACCTTGGTCTCACTTTGTCTAACAGACATCAGATGTTGCAGGCTTATTTATCAGCAGGCTCCAATAGACAGGCTGTTTTGCAAATTAAAGGTGGTTCTCCATTCTACTCAACACTGTACAGTAAAGGCATTCAGGATGCAGTCAGACAATATGGTTTCACTGATACCAACACAGCTGTCACAGTAGAAATGGTTTATAAAGGAACAGCCTACAAGAAAGGACAGTTCCTTGTCACAGGGTATACTGACTTGGTGGAATTTGGTGAACTTGTGCTCATTTTGGTAAAAAACAACACCGTTTATCTTTTGGTGTCAATGTACACAGCAGAATTCCTTCCTCAGTACCATGTGTACTCAGTGAGGAAAGACAATGAAACGATCCAGTGTTTTAACATCTGTGACATGATTGATTTCTATCCATTGGCTGCTTACATGAAAGATGGACAACGACTGGTTCCATTGAAACACAGTGTTTTGTCACACTAATTATGTCTTGTGCTGTCAAAATTGAAAGTTTTTTTTTTCTTTTTGTCTTTTTACATTTTTTTACTCAGAATGGATGACGTAGAGCCAAGCAACATAAGCAGTGCCATTACTAATGTGTTACCAGACCTACCAACCTCAAATCTAAATATTGTATTGGAGACATTACAATCTTTAGGTGTGGGAGCCACTGAAGATTTACAGTATATTAAGGAAGCTGATCTGCTCACAGTACTGAGACCAGTTCAAGCTAGAAAACTGTTGGCTGCATGGAAACAATCCAGTAAGTACATTATGCAGAAAGTTACATTTACTTGTAAGTTAAGATAAAAAAAACAAATTTCATTCTGTACATTTAAATTTCAATTTATTTTACAGCAGAGACAACTGAATTCCATAGTCAGTCAACATTGACCTCTCCAGTGTCCTCAGCGTGCTCCTCAGTCTCACTGTCTTCCTCACCCTCACCCTCACCATCACCCAGACACATGATTGCTACTGCAGATTGGGTCGACAGCTTCCAGATTCCATGGGAGAAGCTCCCAGAAGCCTTAATGCAGAGTTTGGAGAGAGGGAAAAGGCCAAGCTCAAAGTTACGCAGAGAAATGATCCGAATTGTAGTTGCTGAAATGATGCATGCCTCTTCTTCTCCTGGTAAACAATCCTCCACAGAGGTTGCGAAGAAAATGGTAGCAAAGTATCCACTGTCACTGCAAGATGTTATAGAAGGTGATGTGGTAGGAACAGGATATCACTCACTCGTCAAGCAGCTGCAAGCACGAATTGAAAATGTAAAGCGGTCTTCAGTACCAAGAATATTAAAGCGCAGACGGGGGTCAGATGAATTTGACACAGATGAAATCACAGCTGAACAGAGGGCAGCTGTTCAGGACACATATGGCTGCATAAAGTGGGAAATGAAGTTTATGCCAGTGAGTGAGACACTGGAAAGCCAAGAAGAGAAAAAAGAGAAAATGAAAGTGATATTTGAACAGGCAACCTTCAACACAGAGGAGGTAAAACATCTCATGAAGTGCACATACTTCTCCCAGCGTAAATCAGTGAACAGTGGAACCGATCTGCAATTCCTCATGCAAGAGTGGCCTTTCTTATTCAAGGAAGTTGGCATGGCAGTTCACTTTCATGAATTAACTGGTGTTTCCCTGAAAGAGACTTTCCTCAGTAATGTTGAAAAAAAAGGAAAACGTGTTTTAGATTTCATGAGAAGTGTTTGTGCAGAAAAAAGCAAACATGTTTTGCAAGCGGCCACAAAGCTGAAAATTCTGAGAGGACAGCTGGAGGGCTGCTCAGAAGATGTAAAAGATCTGGTGCTCCTCATCCTCTCCTACTTTAATGAAAAAGAGGAGGACTTGTTCTTCTATGTGGAAGAAACTTGTATGGCAAAAGAAGTACAAGTGGAAGGCTTACCTGTGACTCCATGCATCATTGTATGCGGTAAGTTGATCTGTTTTTTTGAAGGAGTCAGAGCTCATGTGTAATACATGTGTAATAGTTATTTTCTAACTATGTTTTCTTGCAGGAACATCATGTTATGCTGCAAAGCATTTCATGCTGAGTGTTGACCAGAAAATTGTCAACGAATACATCTCCACCTTCATCTCGGCTGTTTGCATGATGTTTGCAACCTACTACTGCCTCAACATTCACTATCCTGTGGGTCTGGGCTCCACACTTGAGTTTATTCAGAGGTAAATAATTTTATTTATTTATTTATTTTAAACAAATCACTTAATCTAGTGGTTAATTTTGAATTCTTGCATTCATAAAGGTGTTTCTTCAACATCAATCCTGAGAAGGGCACAAAAGTGGAAACTAAGAAAAACAAGAAACAGCTAACAGTGAATCCAAGAGTCCTCACACTCATTGCAGATCTCTCAGATCATGAGTGGAGAGAGGCATGTTAAATATGGACTTTCAGTTCACATCATTTGAAGTGTTAACACAACACGTATACACCACTAATTGAGTTTTCAGTTTACCTTATCTGTTAACCACCAACAAAGAAAGTACGCTTTTAGTATTTGGGTTAATGATAATGTTTTATTGAGCATTGTTTTTGTTTAATTGGTAAACTGGCTTATTCCAGATTTTGTTAAAAGTACAATGTAACAGACATTTTTGTTAAAGGCTGCATTTGTTCCATTTTTTTTCTAGTTTTCATTGAGGGAAAGAGCAAATTTATATACTAAATTTATTTTTCTAAAGATGTTACAAAACAAATTCATTATACTCCCTGCACATAGTGTTATATGCTTATGATTTTGGCATTTATAATTATTATTAATTTATTTTTTTTGTTTCAAAATATTCTGGTACTAGCAAGGAGTTCAGAGTGTTTGGCTGATTACATGCGGAGTTTAATAAACCTTTTGGAAAATGCTTTCCAGACACCTTTTTTTCAGTGATTATTGTGACACTTCAGATTAAGTTAATGACTGGTGGGATTGCTAAAATCTAAGAATCTACGTAAAAGTAAGTAAACTAAACACTTGAGAATATTTATGTAATTATTTTTACACAAAACAGCATGTGTAAACACATTCTATAAGCTAAATATTGCATATTGTGTAAAATTAAAGCTTTTATCTTCTAACACATTTCAGGCACTGCATTCAACCTTCACTAGATGATGACTTCAAGGAAACACATTTCTGGACAAAAAGTGTTAATTAATACTTTTTTTTTAATAATGTTTATTTTTTTAAAAATTTCACTTTTAATGAGACATTTTTGTTGTATCCACTTTATTGAACAGCAACACTAAAGTTCATCAGGAAACAATGGAAAGAGATCAGGATTGCAACTTTGGTTGCTGCAATAACGGTATGTGTTGTGTTGAACTTGTTGAGCGGCTTGTGAAGCACAGCTGTTGTTTTTCCCTAAATGTAGCCATTTATTTAGTACATGTAGTGTGCATACTGCTTTTAAAAGAGTGAAAGATATGCTTGAAACATTTTTGTCTTATTTAGGACAATATATTTTCTTATGTCTGCCAGAGTTTGAACACAAGGACTCTCTTTTCCTGACAAGTCTCTATTTGGATAAGAGACCTTTCAAGTATAAATTTGGGTAAGTTTTGTTGATTATTAAACATCAATTTAAAAGTACTAATTACCTATTTAACTCTTGCTTTACCTTACACAGATGAGCAATTCGGTGCTTCCAACTTTGCAGAAACGGGGTGTGGCCAGGCTCTAAGCTTCAGTGAGTACATATAAATTATAAGCTTTTAAATTAACTGCCATGCATCAATTTGTCAGATCATACATGCTACTGTTTGGTCAGTTGCTCAACTAACCTTACTCTGTTGGTATCACAAAATTGTAGAACTAAAATTACCTTTCATTAAAAGAGTATTTTATTACAACCCAAACGTGTTTCCAATCTTTCCTTGTATAGCAGTGGATTGTCCTAATTTACAATCTCAAAACAGATTTTTATGCTTGATCTCAACTGAAGTGTAATTTTATTTTAGTTTATATTTAACTTAATTTTATGCTAGCTTTTAAAAAATAATAAAAAATTATATTGCTAAAGTTGTCTTGCACATTTACAGAACAATATTACCACACATTCATCACATTGTCATCTTAGTAAAGTTTGTGTTTAAAAAAAAAAAAAAGAGTAAAGAAAATCTCAGCTAAATTGTATTATATTTATGTACATTGTTTACATTATTATTATTATTCTTTTGAGTTGGAAATAACACAAACTGCTCAATATTTCGAAACTGCAGCAATATTTACTGTAGCTATTGTGTAAATGCTAAAATTAGTTATATTTATTTAATAACTATTAATGTTAGAATTGTTCCTTTTTTGTTTCTTTTCCCCTGTTCACAGAGAGGACCTTCTAAAAGTTCCGGTTTTCTGAACATTGTATCCTGTGTGTAAGAGACCTCTCTTCAGTCAAGTCTGGACCCAGTCAGATGCCAGTCTTAAGGATAATTGATGGTAAGCAGTGTTATAGTATGGTGTAACAAATGCTAGGTAGACTCAAGCAGTCGTGGGTGATAAAAATTGTTATTTCATCATTTCATTTTTGTAATTAAAAAAAGATACACAGTATAAATACACAAATTAAATAAATGGTGCATTTATGTTTTAGCTACAGTAGGTGTATTTATATAGAGGAGCAGGAGTGCTGGTCAGAAATAAAATGAAGAAGCAAATTATCAATTTAATAATTGAAGCATAAAAATTTACATAAATTACCATTTAAATGGACAAATAAATAGACAATTGTAAAACTATTTATTTAATTCATGTTTTAAAATGTGAATTAATCAAAGCGTAAAAAGTATATTTATTCATTCATTTTCTTTTTAACTTAGTCCCTATATTAATCCCTTTATTGTGGGTCGCCACAGCGGAATGAACCGCCAACTTATCCAGCATATGTTTTACGCAGCGGATGCCCTTCCAGCTGCAACCCGTCACTGGGAAACACCCATACACACTCATACACTACGGACAATTTAGCTTACCCAATTCACCTATACCGCATGTGTTTGGACTGTGGGGGAAACCGGAGCACCCGGAGGAAACCCATGCGAACGTAGGGAGAACATGCAAACTCCACACAGAAATGCCAACTGACCCAGCCGGGACTCAAACCAGCGACTTTCTTGCAGTGAGGCGATCGTGCTACCCACTGCGCTACCATGTCGCCCTAAAAAGTATATTAATAAATACTTTTACTTTGCCACATGATTTCCTCGAGTTAATCGATTTTTTTGTCTATTAACATCATTTTACAACTTTAGATTATAGTGTTTACCATCAAATTTTATATCAATAAACAACAATAGTTGACAACAGAACAGCATTAACAATACCTGCAACACTGTGATTATAATAATATATTAGCATAATGCATTAAAGGAATGGTTCATCTAAAAAAGAAAATTCTGTTATTATGTTCATGTAGTTCTAAAAACGAAAGACCTTTGTTCATCTTTTAAACACACTAAAATATATTTTATATTTAGTCCAAGAACTTTCTTATCCTCCCTTAATAAGTACATGTAATCAGTAGTTAAATAAAAATGTTATGATGATGTAACTGGTGTTATGATATACACTGGGTAATGCTCCCAGTGTACCATGTTATACATCAGAAGTGTTGTTGAAAATGTTTCCCAAAAGTATTATCATTGCTTCACACAAGGAGCATTGCTATCTGTGGGAGGATCAGAAAGAGCTCTTAGATTAAATAAAAATAATAATAATTTGTGTTCTGAACATGGACAGAAGTCTTAAGGTTTTAGAACAACATGAAGGTGAGTAATTATTGACAAAATTTTCATTGTTTGTTCAACTGTCCCTTTAATTATGACCACACACTAAAAATAATGGTTTGGGATAAAAGATAAAGTAAAAGACTCTTTATAGCAGACAATGATGTTTGTATACTCTTTTGAAAAATGTACTGTCAACACAGATCTTTAATTGCAGTTTAAAGCAAAAATGGCACACAATGTAAATATTTTATCAACTTTATATTTAAACTAGTTTTTCTACAAATATATATTTTTAAAAACAATTATTTTATTATAGTTATAGCAATTACTCAACCTAGAAAACTTTATTGTATTTTTTTGTAAGAATGACTAGGATTGTATCTGATGACTCCTATCTGATGATTTAGTACAAATTGTGTGAATTGTTGAATTTAGGCTCCAAGCTGACAGAGTGAAGCAAATACTTATGATAGCTCAGTGCTGAGATGTGTCTATTTCAATCTTTTGCCCTAATATTGATTATTAATTATTGTATTTATTATTAAAGTGGCCTACAAAATTCTATGGTGTTGCTTGTGTGCAGTTCATTGGTAATCAATTAAAGAAAAGAAGACTGAGTTTATTTCAGTTCAAGCATATTTCTCTTGAACTAACTTGTCTTTGTGTCTGTTTTCTGCAGAGAGATCATGCCAGTCCATATTGAAATAGTGACTACATGCAAGACTTCAAGCAGTACTACATTTCAAGTTTGGAACATACACAGTCCTGTGTCTTCCGTCAAGTGTGGGCTCAATACTATTGTTCAACCAGAGCAAGCAGCCCTGATGGATGTACAGTATATGTCTTCATTGATTATCCTTACTTTTATATATGGACACATTTTATTTCCAACATCAACACGCCTTTGTGAGTACACTGGTCAAGTTATTGGATCAGCTCAAACTGTTTTAACACAGTCCCTGTATGTAGTTTCATTAAAATCTAATAATTATAGTTTGTGCCTTCAGTTGCTATAGACTGTATTTACTAGTTCATTTTGCAATTCAAAAACCTGATTGATTGTTGTAAAATCTGTGGCAAACAACTGTAATGTCTTTTGTGTTTTACCGTGTTTTTTACGGTAAAGTTCTGGCAACCACAGCTGCCGGTAATTTTCTGTAAAACTGAACTTTACAATAAAATACTATTATATTTAATACAGTTGTTTTATGTTTATTACGGAAATAGAATGTAGTTAGTTTTACAGTATATTTATTATACACAGTAGTTTACTGTAAAGGAATTTACACTTACGACTGCTATTTTTAAAGTAATTTACTGTAAACATGTTTACAATACATTTGTTTTATTTAACAGAAATTTACTGTAAACATACAGCAGTTTTCAACTGTAAAATTTACAGATCATCAAAAAGTATTCTGTAAAGCATTGCACGTTGCAACCTTATATTTTACGGTGAACTTCTGGCAACCACAGCTGCCGGTATTTTACCGTATATTTCACCCGTTATTTTTTACAGTGCAGCCCTGAGTGAGAAGCAGCCATCCATTACTCATAAGAGTTTTCATGCTTTTTGACACAAAGGTGTTTGTAGCTCCGGCCTCTTTTGAAATCTCATTTGAATTTAAAGCGATAGTCACCAAAAAGGCATCATTTGTATTAAAAGCCTAAAAGGGGGCAGTTTTAAAGAGATATAAAACATTATTCGTGCGGTATGTTGAGCTGAAACTTCATATAGACACTCTAGGGACATCAGAGACTTATTTTACATGTTATAAAACAGGGCGTAATAGGTCCCCTTTAAATTGTAATGTACTATATTAATGGGAATGATTTTGTAAGGATACATATTTAAAATTTAAACTGCAATAATAATAATAAAAAAATCAGTTTAGGTTTAATTTTCTTTATACAAAATAAGATTTCTCACTCACTCGATCATTAGCTTTTACAAAAATATGACTATCTATAATCCTTTTCTTTTCTTGCGAATTTGGGACGAGCCCTTCGTGGCCCAAACATGTGTTTGATGAGTTATATAAGATCTAGGATGCATCTTCAGAATAAAGTGTGAGTTGGTAGCTGCGTTTGGGATTGGGGTTCTTAAATGAAGGATGTATTCTCATGGTTCCTCGATGTCCATGAACTCTTTTTTAGGCGGTGTGGATCCACGGTACCAGGCGCAGCTGCTGTCGCTCCTCTTGACGCAGGTGTAGTGCTGAGCCTGAGTGCCCTGAACGGTTCCCTCCAACACCCAGTCCGTCCACAGACACTCCACAGGCTCACTGATGGAGCAGGGGATGATGGGACACTGGACAATCTGTGCATAGACAAGACAAGAAGACGGATGATGAGATGAAGACAACGACAAGACATGCGTCCGAAAGACTCGAGTAGGTACTACATTTGAATCTAAACTTACTACACGACCGTTAGAAAAGTATGTTCTATATAGAATTAAGGGAACTTGGACGAACTACATCCGCCATTTGTCATTATAATCTGACCTACGCACATCAGTTGAATCGCTTTTCTCCCATTCAGGAATTTTCTTGCGATGCATTATGGGATAGAGTAGGGTCTATTAGATGCACACTTCAGAATCTTACCGGAAGTAGTAGGTCATCCGGGTACTTCTTTGCATACTGTTTTTCGAATGCTATGAATTCAGACATACTACTCGACTCGCATACTGTTTTTAACACAGTACATAGTGTGATTTCGGACACAGCAAGTGTGTTTAATCATTTGACGGGGAAGCGAGTGTTTGGAAAGGTTTGGTATGTGACTGGAATATGGGATCTTACAGTACTGATAACTGCCGGCTGCGGTACTCTCTCTCTCTCTCTCTCTCTCTCTCTCTCTCTCTCTTTATTTATCTTTCTCTCATGTAGCACCCCTATTTCTGCCGACTGAAGCTGTTTGTTAGTGTGTTACAATGGTTATATGGACCACCAAAGCCTATTCTGTCTCATCTCAGCTTAACTTTGTTAATTCCAGTTTTCAGTTTACAGAGTCTATTAATCGTGCTAACTCACATGCTTCAAGTATATTGTAGTTTAAAAATTTCAACGCAACACGTGACAGAAACTTGATATTCATGTGCATTTCTTTCTCAGCTCACAAATGTTTTTTTTAATGTAATTTTTTAAGATCTTACACTGAAACAGATTGGCATAATGCATATAACATAACGTCAGAATACCCATCTTTAACAGTCAGCTAAGTCTTAAGTGAAAGTAAGCATTTGTGAAAGATTTTTTTTTTAATGACAGCAACCAAGACTCAATTAAAACTTCAAGACCGAAATTAGAACACATGGCCTTGAGAATAACTTTTTTTTGTAAACAGTTGAATATAAGGCTATGTATTTTACGCTAATGTATGGTATTTCTAAATGGCATTTAAGTATTACTATAGTGAATTTTTTTACAATGCAAACTGAATCAAACCACTGGCATTTTTCCAATGCCTAATAGATAAATAGACAGACAAACAGACAGACAAACAGACAGACAAACAGATAGACACATAGATAGATAGATAGATAGATAGATAGATAGATAGATAGATAGATAGATAGATAGATAGATAGATAGATAGATAGATAGATAGATAGATAGATAGATAGATAGATAGATGGATGGATGGATGGATGGATGGATGGATGGATGGATGGATGGATGGATGGATGGATGGATGGATGGATGGATGGATGGATGGATGGATGGATGGATGGATGGATTATTAGATAGATAGATAGATAGATAGATAGATAGATAGATAGATAGATAGATAGATAGATAGATAGATGGATGGATGGATGGATGGATGGATGGATGGATGGATGGATGGATGGATGGATGGATGGATGGATGGAAAGAATGATAGATAAATAGATGGAAAGAAAGATAGATCTATAGATGGAACGATCGATAGATGGAAAAACAATAAAATGGAAAGAAAGATAGAGCAATAAAACGATAGATGGAAAGAAAGATAGACAGACAAACAGACAAACAGACAGACAGACAGACGGATGGATGGATGGATGAATTAATAAACAGACAAACAGACAGACAGACAGACGGATGGATGGATGGATGGATTAATAAATAAATAGATAGATGGATGGATGGATGATAGATAGATAGATAGATAGATAGATAGATAGATAGATAGATAGATAGATAGATAGATAGATAGATAGATAGATAGATAGATAGATAGATAGATGATGGATGGATGGATGGATGGATGGATGGATGGATGGATGGATGGATGGATGGAAAGAATGAAAGAAAAATAGATGGAAAGGACGATAGAACTATAGATGGAAAGAATGACAGATAGATGACGGACGGACGGACGGATGGATGGATGGATTAATAAATAGATGGATGGATGGATGGATGGATGGATGTATAGATAGATAGATAGATAGATAGATAGATAGATAGATAGATAGATAGATAGATAGATAGATAGATAGATAGATAGATAGATAGATAGATAGATAGATAGATAGATAGATAGATAGATAGATAGACGGATGAACCGATGAATGGATGGCTATACAGACAGACAGATAGACAGATACCTTGCAGTCACAGCCCATCTGGTAGCGTGGACCCAGGCTCTTTTTCTGTGTCAGACTCAGAGACTCCCAGGACTCGATGTAGTCACACAGGTTTATGCGCAGTGTGCCATTTGAATTCAAATTACCTGCAGATGAACAAGATGCTGTTAGCTTAATGGTGCTGCTATGATTGCTGTACTTCACACAGGGAAATACAGGAGTTTCTTGAACACTAGTCTTCACAGTATAAGTCCACAGTATACTCTCACCTGTGATCAGGTATTCCTGCTTGCCATTGCTCTCAAGATTGACTCCACATAACGCTGAGGAGGGGCCCGTGAAGATAGTGTCAATCTCTCCATTGGGGCCCTTGAACATCTAGAGAAAGAAGATGGCGTAAAGACGTCAAGAAAGAAATTGTTGGCATTCTCTTGGTGTTTATCATTGCAAACATGCAGCTTTGACTGATTCAGTTCTTCAAATGAATATCTGTGTTATAGATTGAAGAACGTGCAGACTTCCGGTTTGGGTGAGAACAAGATGGCAGTGGGATCTAGCCCCTGACAATGAGGGTAAAAAGGCCTTAATTATTTTTTTAAACTCTCTTACATGAATTACTTGGCAGAATAAAGTCAATGGCCATGACAAATAACTGCACTCTACACGGAAAATGTCACATAGGAAAATGATGACGATCCGCTACGGTCACGATCACCAGCGATCCAGGCTTGTAGATCGCTGTAATCATTCACTTTCACTCAGACTACAATTCTGTCACCTTATGAACTACAAATCCTGCCATGCACCTTACTCACACCTGTTCTGGTTTACCTTTGATTACACACACACACAGCTAGGAGCAGCTCAAGGATTGATTACTCATGCTATAGAGACTGCTCACTTTGTCACACACTTTGCTGAGTCTTGCTGGTTTGTACCATGTAACATCATGAAGAGTTATTCTGTGTGGTCTTTCTGTGTTTGATTCTTGCATTGTTTTCTCGATATTGATTCTTTGCCGCCTGTACTGACCATTTGCCTGTTACCTGACTTCGCCTTTTGGATAACCTGTATGTTCCCATTTGCTCCCGCTTTGACCATTGCCTGCCTGATCTATTGCCTACTTCTTGACTGATAAAACTGCACGTGTATCCTCAACTCCGTTGTTCAGTGTACCAACAGTTACAGCTACACTGTAAAAATATTGGTCCCACTTTATATTAAGTGGCCTTAACTAATATGTACTTACACAGGAATTAATAGTTTGTTACAATGCACTTATAGTGTAAATAGATGTATTTACTGTGTACTTATGCTTGATTAAATACATGTATGTAATTACATCTGTAATTAACTTTTGAAATTACATTTGTAAATACACTGTTGACCATCCCTTACACCTTAACCCACCCTTAAACCTACCCATGCCACCAAACCTGTCCATAACCCAACCTCTATTCCAACTCAAAAGCACCACAAGTGTTCTCAAATACATTATAAACACAGTAAGTACATTGTATTTATTTTTGATGTAAGTACATAGTAGTTAGGGACACTTAATATAAAGTGGGACCAAAATATCTGTAAATGAGCGGTTGTGAATATTTTGTGATTCATGTTTTTATTTTTCCCAGTTTTCTATGCTTTTGAATTGCATTACTGGATGTTGATTTTTTACAACGTTTAACCTTGAATGTTTTTAATAGTTTAAAGTGATGCAATGTCTGGGTTGGAGTTGTTTATTACGGTACAAAAGCCTTGTAATAAGCTGCCAGGACATTTTCTGTTATTATGCAGACTTATTTCTCTATCTAGTATTTTTAATATTATTTCAAACTACTAAAATGTCAATAAAAGTCACTTTGTTAAACTGCAGAGTTGAATTTTTAACAACAAAAGTCAACAGAACAGAGATCAACATATTATAATGCAGTTCACAACCGTAAATAAACGGAAAACACTTGTGAAATTGCAAAATACGGAATGATTAGTTAACAGATATTGTTTACAGTGTTGATCTGAAATAAAAGAGTTTGGTAAAAAACATTTTGATAATCTAAAGAACTCTTTTCGAGTTTCCTGAACCTTTTGTGCAATGGAATTGGTGCAGTTAAAGTTAAAGCTACGTCCACATACTGTAGCACTGATCGTTTTTTTTTTTTTTTTTCCAAAATCTTTACATCCATAAAAATATAATTTCAAGAAATGTCTGCGTCCAGACGGATATTGTATATTTGCCACTGTAAACAGCTGGAGAAAAAAATACTGAACACGTCATGTTTTCTCCTGGAAATAATATATCCAAAGGAGCAATTAACATGGAATTGTAATTAGATTTTGGTAAAAACTCAAACAACACAAAAAAATTAAAAAAATGAGTGATGTGTAATAACAATATAATGACACAAGGAGAACGTACTGAACTACTAAATCGTATTTAATACTTATTTTTTTAATAATTTAATTTTTTTTGGGGTGGCAGCTTAAAGACGCCTCTCATATGGAGAATGAGGTGTGAGTTTTCCACAGATTTTAAAAGAGTGTAAAAATCTTGATGGTTCTTTGGATCTCGTCTATCAACCTTTATCTCTATTTTGTGTTTTCTATTGGATTCGAGTCAGGTGATTGGCTATGCCATTCTACAGCCTGAATTTCTTTCTCTGAAAGCATTTAAGAGTCTCCTTGGCTGTGTTTTGGATCATTGTCTTGCTGAAATGTCCACCCTGGTTTCATCTTCATCCTCCTGCTAATGTAGATCCTGGACTGATGCAGCTAATATTCATTTACGTTGATGAAGGGAAGAGGGTTGTTGAATAACTACTGAGAGATTTCAGCTGCTGTCTGGGCTTTCACTGCCTTTCTACACCTCCCTTTCTTCATGTGTTCAATACTTTTTCCCTGTGTCATTTCATTTTATTACACATTACTTCATTTGTAAACTAATTAATATATATATACATATATATATATAATTTTTTTTTTGCATATATGGATTTCTTTGGTTGTTTTTAAATTTCAAATTTGACAAAAATTTCAAGTCAACAGAAGTTTTAGAAATATGTTGTCTGAGAAAAATGGTGACAAGTTCAATACTTATTTTCCTCGTTGTATGCACTAAAATCAAAAAAGGAATGCAGTGAGTCCTTCAGGGTTGATTATAGAAAAACAGGAAGCTGTGGTAGCTTTAGAAATATCTGACTTGTGTAATGATGTGTGCAATGCATCTCATCTAGTTGAAACAACATTATCAGGTTGTGTTGTAATTGTGCTGCTGGCACAGCTAGGTTTATTAGCACTAACGCAGCTCTGTATTCACTGTTGTTGAGTGTGTGGGATTCTTCCTCATTCTTCTGATCATGTGATACAGTGACATCATCCTTTCCAAACAGTGCCATTTTGCTTACCCACACGACTACAATAGGGGCAACGGTTTGAGATTATAGATCCACTCTATAACCCGTTCTCCAAAAAGTTCATTTTAGGGCACAGACAATGATATTGTTGTGTGGGCGAAGGGCCGAAATTATATTAAACTTTTGCAGGTTGGCCTAAGTCTATTGCTGTGTGGATGGGTCATTAGGCTTTTTAAAAAACTATTAATGCAAAAAAAAAAAGATTTTGAAGAACACAATGGTCTCAAACTCAATCCCTAGAGGGCTGCAGTTTAGCTTCAACCACCTTCAACTCAAACCAGCTTAAAGCTGCGGTCACACAGGGCTTTTCTCCCCATAGACGTCCATTCATACGCACACGAATGCGTCAAACCTGAAACGCAAGCTCGTTTGACAAGTTTCACAGCTTGCTGTGTTGGGAAGTAATTTTGGTAAACTCTGACTTGCGAAATCCTATCACTTGACTGCGTGAGACCAATTGAGGATCAAAACATTGAAATAGAAAATTAATTAAAAATTAGAAATTTAAAATATGGGCCAATCGCTCGCTTTTTAAAATGACTAGTCATCTTGTTTAATCCCGCCTCTTTTCGCAGCGCCGTTCTACAGAATTTCACAACTTCAAACTCTTGTGTGACAAAACTGTGCAGAGCTGTGGCCCTCCAGGAATTGAGTTTGAAACTATGGTGTGACATTTTACCAGGTGAGCTAATAAGCAAGCTTACTGCATCAGAAAAACCATATATTTGGATCTGGTTACGTGATGCAGACAGTCAAATTGATTGAAAGTTACGCACTATGATAAACACGTTTTGGGGCTAAAACAATAGCCCCTTTCACACAGTGATACCGGTAAATATCTGGAAAATTTCCGGAACAACTTTACCGGTATGTTCAAAAAAGCGCTGTTCAGGCGAGGACATTACGGAAATTTTCCGGAAAAGAGCATTCACACATCCATTCCAAAATACCGGTAAATTCTGACATCATTTACCACATATGAGCTTTAAACGGCTGCGCTTGTATTTGTAAACATTTGACTAAATTACAAACTCTGTGGAAGATCAATATTGTGAACAACTTTCGCAGGATCACTTTCGCATGTCGAGATGTTCATAATATGTGCGTGTGCAGGCGCTCACAGGCTGAAGCTTGAAGGTAAACAAACATAAGCATCTCATCGATGATTATTTACACAGTTGGCATAAAGAAGAACATATAAACGTGATCTGACTAACTTCTAGCAGCTAAATGTGTCTGGAAAAATATTTAAAGGTTTTTATTCTCACAAATCGCGCGGACGTAAATGGGTTTGACTGTTGTGATTGGCTAAAGCAGACGTCTCACGTCAGCACTTTCTAGACGTGCACGCGCTTATTACGGGAATCTTCCTTCTGCATTCACACAGCGCAGCATTCCGGCAAATTGCCGGTAATGTTACAACTTCTCTTTCCGGAAAATAGCCAGAACGAATTTACCGGTATTTTCAAAAAGGACCTGTTCACACATACAACCTTTCCGGAAAATTGCCGGCAATTTTCCGGAAAGGTCACTATGTGTGAAAGGGGCTATTGTATTGTGTGAAAAACTACGCAAACATTTATTATCGATAGAATAAATGTTCTAATGTTCACTTGACTGGTGTTTCCAAAGTGCAAAAATCTTTAACTGAAATCAGTGGATGACAAGAGCAAAATTCTCCACTGACCTTCAACTGTTTGACATCGTATCGGATCATTTTGATTGGATAGCCATAAGCGTCATTGCCGGTGACCACCTCCTTTCTTCCGACGACTTTTGCTCTGATGACTGTAAACACAAGAAAAGGAAAATATTTAAAGCATTCACTTTCTGGCACATTTTATAGCCTGCTCCACTGTAGTTTGTGTGTGTGGCGTCCACCCTGTAAAAATATCTGTAAATTAGCAGTTTTCTGTATTTTAAGACTCATGTTTTTGTTTTTCCCTGTTTATTTATGCCTTTGAATTGCATTATGGGACCTCAATCTTTCTTCCAACAACTTTTAACCTTGAAAAGTTCAAAAAGAGACTTTTATTAACGTTTTTAATAGTTTGAAGTGATATATTGTCTGGGTTGGTGTTGTATATCATGCTACAAAATCCTTTTAACAAGCTGGCAGTAGATTTTCTGTTATATTACAGACTTATTTCTCTAGATATCATCTATTTTACATTATATTATCTCAAACTACTAAGTAAAAAGTCTAATAAATAAAAGTCACTGTCAAATTGTAGAGTTGAATTTCCGACATCAAAAGTCGACAGAGCAGAGATTGAGATCCCATAATGCAAATCACAACCGTGAATCATTAGAAAACAGTAATGAACAGATATTTTTTACAGTATAGATGTGCTGTTATCAAGCATTGAGATGACCCGTATCGTGCTGCTGTTGTCCTGCTTTGTGCTACAGGTGCTGAGAGTGTGTATGGACACACGTGAGTGTTTGATTAGCCGAGGGCAGCGTGAGGAATGTGTTCAGGAAGCCAGTCAGCAGTCTGACTGGAGCAGGCAGTTTGCCCCCCACCCCGCTTCCCATAGAGCTGCTGACATACAAATACCAAATGCTAGTTCAAACGCATCTCTCTAGAAGCAGCAGATTCAGTGGGCACCCAGAGAACGCTCTCAGAACATTCCTTTAAGGGGACCGCTTTTACAATAAAATAAGTCTCTGATGTCCCTAGAGTGTGTATATAAAGTTTTAACTCAAATTTCACACAAATAATGCCCCTTTTAGGTTTTGATCATAATTGTGTCATTTTGGTGTCTTTTGCTTTAAAGGTTCAGGACACCCTGGAGAACTTTTTTTTTTATTTTAACAGATTTGTGTGTGTTGAGCATCAGTTAAGACAATGTTAGCACCTGTCAGCTATAATTGTGGGGAAAACTGGATAATTTTGTCAGCTAATTTCAACTTCCAGGTTTAAAATGATTTTTGGGGAGGGATCAAAATCTGCGACGTAGCGCAGTACTGCAAGTGCAATGATCACGCGTCGGTTTCTCATTATTATTCATAGCGGAGTTTTCTTATCCTATGAGAAGAGCCGGCTGCTTAATTATTCATGAGAGCACGTGCATTCCGAAGGCAGACCTGCCATTTTCAAGCAAGCTGTGAGACACAGACTGACGGCACGTAGCCGTTCATGAAGGCTCGTATGTGTTTGTTTCCATGATCCACGGGGTTTGTTGCATGTTTTATCCCCGCGATCTAGTCAGGGCCGATCATACAGCAAAGCTGTGTGTGTGCTGCTAGCATTTTTGTCGGGAGAGCAGTGCGAGAATTGGAGAATGGCGGACGTTTATCAGGAGTTCGTTCACATTCAGACACATCGCCGTGCTGCTGTGTTTGCCTAAATCCTCTATTTTACCAGCAGGGCTAATGGTTAAAATAGACAGGTCAGGAGACCTGCTGCACTGAGTCTGCATTCAGATCTATAATAGACCCGGGGATCGAGGGAGAATCCCTTATTTATATCACTTATGATATAAATTGTGGTTAGGTGTATATGAAATTACAAATAACAAATGTAGCAGGACATTAAATTACTGTTTATTTCTTTGCATTTTAACGTTGTGAACTATAAACTCATGTGTCTCCTCAGGGTTTGTGTCTCATTTTGTGAGCTAACTGTCAACAACAGTTGTTCGCTCCCCTTCTCCCCTGCTGGCCACGCCCACGCCTGCCCTGTGCAGTAGACTTTAACCGAAAGTGGGGGGTGTCATGGCCCTTTTAAATGAGATTTTTTAAGAAGTGGGTGGAGCTACAAATGCCTGTGTGTCAACATAGTAGCATATTCAAAAACAAGACTAACATCTCATGCTAATGAGGGAGAGATCATCACGAATAGGCAGGGCTTTTCGCCCTCTGATAACACGTACAAAGGGAGAATGTCAATCAAAGTCTTTCTGCTTTGTTTCAGTTTTTATTATTAAAAATATAATTAATACATTTTTTTACCATTAGAAGCTGGTTATATTCACAGACTATCATCACACAACGGTGTTTAAACCCCTATAAAAGTAAGTTTTGCAAAAAGTAAGTTTAGTTATATAACAATAACTAAACATAAACTAAAATGTTTTTGAATAATGTTATTATAACCAAAAGCCAATGTTAATACATTGTCTAAAACAAAGGATGTTTAATATGTTAATATGTAATATGACTTTATATGCACCACTTACACACACACACACACACACACTCTTTGCTGAGTCTTGTTGTTGTAACTTTACAAAGCGTTTCCGTGTCTTGTTTTTCCTTGTCGTGGTTTCTGACCCTCCCCTTGTGTATTGTTTATGCCGTTAGCCGACTGTACTGATCTCTTCACCTGTGACCCGACTACTCTTGTTGATAAAGATGCTGCATTTGAATCCTCAACATTGTTGCCAGAACCATTTGGTTATTAAAGGCTTCTATTTTAAATAAAGGACATCATTTTGCCAACATTATTTGAAAATGTGAAGTATTATACCCGTTTACAACATTGATAATAATAATAATGGCGGGAGGCTAATTGCAAGATTTTGTAAAGATGTTGATTTAAAATGTACTTTCTGTAATGATAAAGAAGAGAGTATTGTTCATTTATTTATGATTGTATTTATACACAGTTGTTTTGGTGTGATCTTTTCTTTTTTGTTAAGCAGAATACGAATATTGCATTGGGATTCAAAGAAAAAGATGTTTTATTTTTTTATGAGAACACAGTTGACTTCAAAATCTGGCATATTGTTAATTTGCTCATTATATATGGAACATTTTTTATTCATAAATGTAAAAGGGCTGTAAAAAACTAATTTTACTCACTTTAAAATAGAAATAAGTCATTACCTATGCAAGATAAAAGAAACAAAAAATACCAAAGCAAAAAGAACTGTTAATTATTTTAAAGTCTTAAATTTTGCTTTTTGAATAATTGTTATTGTTTTTTGTTTTTTTTTCCCCTTTTTTTCTTCTTCTTATATTGAAGAAGAAAATAAATAAATAAATAAAATAAATAAATAAAAATAAATAAATAATGGCGGGAGGCATGGTGGCTCAGTGTTTAGCACTCAGCAATGGGCGTAATGACAATGTGTGTGAATGAGTGGAAGGGCATCCGCTGCGTAAAAAAAAATGCTGGAATAGTTGGCGGTTCATTCCGCTGTGTCGACCCCTAAAAAATAAGGGACTAAGCCGAAATAAAAATGAATGAACGAATTAATGAATTAATAATAATAATAATAATAATAATAATAATAATAATAATGATAGAGAAAAAAATTCACCTTTGAATCACAGGAATAATATAAATTCAATGTAGAACCCGGTTCTTTTTATTTAATAATATTACTATTTTACTGTATCAAATAAATTGAGTTTATTGCTGAGCATAAAAGACATGCTTCACAAACATAAATAAAATGGTACAGACTCCAAACTTTATCTGAGTTATCAGAGGGCCCATACATACCCTGCTCAGTCCCAAACACAGAGCGTCTTTTCTATTGGCCACACATTCAGAAAGCCAAAAACACCCACAGGATCCCAGTCTGAAGTCAGGCATGCCTCTCTCATCAGAAACACACACTCAGGGTTTATGCTGGTTTAATCACAGCCTCTGAGGCGGATGACAAACACGCACACACAGAGCGCTGCTGTTTTCAGGTATGTGAGAGGGGGAAAGGGAGCCCTCCATATTGTTCATTCATTTATAAGTTCTGCAGGTCACATGTAGTGCTGTACAGATTTGATTGGATATTCAGCTTGAACTATTGAACATTTAGACAGCTTATTCCTGAGGCGTCATTGTTCATTGAACACCTGAAATGAATCAATGCTGACTTTACATGCATAATGGCATATTATTCTGTAGAGATACAGTAATTTTAACAGCATTACTTTACAATATGCATTACTTTACAATATGATCCTCTCTGCTCACATTATTAATATTAATAATTATATTAATAATTCATGCTGATGCTAATGATGAGCAGTGTAATTTCACAATGCATTCACTCACAATAATGCACTTTACACACACACACATACTGGATATTATGTAAACACAATATTTTATTTAGGATGAGATTAATTGTTTGATGGCACGAAAGTTATTATTATGTAAGATTAATCAATGCTTTAGTGTCTTAGCTAGTTTGCAAAGACCAATTTTATGCACATTTTGGGATGTCATTTAAAAAAACATTGCTGAATGAAAACTGCAAGATGCATATACAAACTTAAAATGCTATAAAAAAAATGACTGAGATGCATATTGTTTTTGTATAATATGGTATGATTTTTGTATAATAAACTATGATGGCAACCGACCTAACCAATGTCAATCATACCATCTTGTAGTTTTCAGGGGGTATTTACAACACACTATATTCATTACAATGGAATCTTTTCGTTTACATGACAATTGGTTTATTGGGCATAAAAATAAGTTTTCAAAAGCTATATGTTTGTGATAGTTTCGTTTGAGTTCATATTTGTACCCGAAATGTACATTTTAGTACTTAAAGTTTAGTATGTAGTGCAACTTTTAGTTTATTTCTAACAGTTTTATAACAGACTGTGTTGTCCAAAAAAAAAAAAAAAAAAAAAAAAAAAAAAATATATATATATATATATATATATATATATATATATATATATATATATATATATATATAATTTATTTATTTATTTATTTATTGATAAATATTGTTAAATGTTTTAAAAATGATACAATCTTGCTTTTGGCTAGTATGGCTTTGCTCTCTCGCACTCTGTTCTTACAGCTGGGAGATGAATAA